TTAGTGTTCTAGATGCACTTCCACAGTTATTAAAATTGAGAGCTTTCGATACCTGTACCATTTTTGCATTAGTATAATTGTGTGGCAAGTACAATCATACTCTATGCCCAGGGAAGTCGAGAAATTTTCCGACCCGAAAAATTCCTAGACTTGACCAGGAATCGAACCCAGCCACCTCCAGCATGGTCTTGCTTTGTAGCTGTGCCTTTACCGACTGAGCTAAGGGAACGAAACGATAAGTTGTATTGTCTTATATCTTTCATGAGGCAAGTTCAGTAGTTAAGCAGTTCATGATTTAAAGGAATTAATGTTAACGGTTATATGACAAAAGGTTGAAAGGAGAAAAAAAATGTCGAAAGGACAAATTGTCGAAGGGATAAAAGGTCGAATAATAAAAAACACACAAGGACAAAAAATCGAAGGGAGAATAGGTTGAAAGGAAAAAATGTCGAAAGACAAAATTTCGAAGAACACAGGGTCACAGAACGGAAAAAGGATTTTATGTTGGATTGTTCAATAGCTTTTATTAGGTAAGTTCAGTAGTTGAGCAGATCATTTTTAAAATTAGTTAACTTCAACGGTTGTAGGACAAAAAATCGAAACGACAAATGGTCGAAGGACAAAAGGTCGAAATTAACAAAATGTCAAATGGACATAATTTCGAAACGGACAAAACGTCAGAAGGAAAAAAAGGTCGAATGAGCAAAAGGTCGAAAGGATTTTCGAGAACATGCAATGCAATTTTTCAATCGCATTTATCAGGCAAGTTCAGCAGTTGAGCAGTTCATGTTTTGAAGGAGTTAACATCAACGGTTGTATGACAAAAGGTCTAAATGATAAATGATCAAAGGGACAAAAGGTCAAATAATTAAATAAAAAAACACAACAGGACAAAAAGCCGAAGGGACAAAGGTTGAAAAGAAAAAAAGGTTGAAAGACAAAAGTTCGAAGGACAGAAAGTTGCAGGACAGAGGTCAAAGGGACAAAAGGTAAATGAAATATATAGGGACAAATGGTCGAATGGACAAAAGGACGAAAGAAATTTGAAGGGACATGCATGGACATAATGACAAAATGGACGATACGTCAAAATTGACAAAGGTCGAAATGAACAAAAAGTCGAATGGACAAAACGACACAATGTCGAAATGATTAATTAATTAATTTAGCTTTATTTAGGAGGCTTTCAGCCTTAGGCTGGTTCGCCTCCATACGATGTCGAAATGGACAAAAGGACGAACAGACAAAAGTTCGAAAGGATTTTCGATAAGTTTAAGTTGGATTGTTCCCTAACTTTTATCTGGTAGGTTTAGCAGTTGAGCAGTTCATTTTTTAAAGGAGTTAATTTCAGCGATTGTAGGACAAAAGATCGAAGGGACATAAGGTCGAATCATTAAAAATACTAAAGGACAAAAGATCGAAGAACAAAAAGTCGAAAGGACAAAAGGGCAAAAGGATTAAAGGACAAAAATCTAAGGCAAACAAAACCGAAGTGATAAATTGACGGAAGGACAAAAAGTTAAAAAATAAAAAGACAAAAAGTTGAAAACGCAATATACTGAGTAAAGCAAGTAGGCAAACCAAACTAAGGCGCAATATGAGTAATTCAACTGAAATGTTCAAGTTGTTATCTATTTTAAAATTTTTAAAAAATTCGTGAACAATTCTTTGGAAGAGAAAAGCTATCGAACAATCAAATTGAACAAAAAAACTCGAAAGACTTTTCTCACTCTTGGAGATGTCTTCTTCTTAATAATATGAGCAGTTCTTTGACAAACAAATCTCTGTTACTTTTTCGAAGGGACGTATCAACTTTTGTAAAAAATGCATTTGATCGCCGGTTTGGCCTAACTGGTAGCTCGCCCACGCATGCATTTTCCCCTACCTGATCCGTCCCTTCGAAAAAGTAATCGAGAAATGCTATTGCAGTCAGAAGTCATTTCTTACCCATTAAAATGAGCAGTTCTTTGGCAGATAAAAGCTGACGAACAATCCAAATTAAAATACTCGTAATTAATTTCTCAATTTTGAAGATTACACCTTCTTAAGCAGTTCTTATACTCAAAACCTATGAAGTAATCTTTATACTTTTTTTCGAATTGTTTTAATTTGTATTTCTGACGTTATTCATAATACGACCCTTTTAGGTATTATGGGTGTTCAAATTAAATTTTCTTTTTTTATAAAGGGGTCAATTATTCTAGAAACAATTTTCGATAATTTTCAGCTAGAACTGTTAACCAGGATTGCTTCCACTCTCTTCCCTGTGTTCAGCAGCTTTTATCATGTTTTAAAGAAGGAGTTAACTCGAACAGAGAGAAAAAAAACTCTCAAGTATGTTCAGTTGGAGTGTTCTATTGCTGTATTCTTCCAAAGAACTGCTCGTGGGGCGACCCCGGCGTAGTGGTTAGCATCCATAACTCTCACGCCAAAGTCAAATCTCACCCTCGGACAAGTCACGAATGACCCAAAAGTGTTAAAGTGACTATAATAAAAATGAAAGAACTGCTCATGTTTAGAAGAAGTTGTCAGTGAAACTCAAAGAGTAAAAAAAATAACTTTCGACCATTTCAATTGGATTACTCAAAACCTGAGTTTGAATTACTTAATTTACTCAGCATATTGCCTTTACAATCTTTTATTCTTTTAATTTTGTTGATCGTTTTTCACCATTTCGATTATCTGTCCATTACGACCTTTTGTTCCTAAATGTTATTCGATCATTTGTCTATTCGACGTTTTTTCCATTCGACCTTTCATTTTTTTACACACTCAATTTTTTTTTTTTTTTTCGATTTTGGCACCACCGAGCAGGCTCGGCATTTATTTTTACTGAGATGTCAACAAAATTTATGTTTGTTAGCCGAGATCTCGACAAAATTCCCGTTTGTTAACTGAATCTCGGGAAATTTTTCAATGAGATCCAGCAAAATAGAATGCCAAGCTGCTCGTTGGTGCCCATCTCGGCAAAAAATCTATGTGTGTAGACCTTTTTTGCATACGACAATTTTTCCATTACAATTTTTGTCAATTTCGACCGAATCTGTGACAAAAGGTGGAAAGACAAAGGTTGAAGAAAGAAAAATGGTCAAAAGGACTAAACGTAAAAATGACTAAAGATTAAAAGGACTAACGGTCAAAAGGACTGAATGTCAAAAGGACTAAGGGTCAAATGGACTAAAGGTCAAAATGACCAAAGGTCAAAAGGTCAAAATGGTTAAAGGACAATAGGTTGAAATCCCAAAACTGATTTTTTTTTTTTAAAGAATGAGTGTAATTTAATGAAGAGTAAATTTGATATTTTGTACCTTGAAGCACAACTCACGTTTAAAAGAAAAAAAAAGCCTCTGAAAAATATGAGATTCTAAAATCTCATCTTTGTTTTTCGAAATTTTTCGAAAGAACTGAACATGTATAAAATAAGTAACAATTTAATAAAAATATGAGATTTTGATTTTTCATCAATTTTTCAGATCCTTAAACCCACAAGTTTCCCATCGTCTTAAGTGTGCATTTATAAAACTCGAAGTTTTAAATGCATCTTTTGGACACAGTAGCTTAAGTGTGTCAGATTTTGGCCCTAGTGGTTTTCTAATGGGCCCTATCTAAAATTTCAATTGTATTCATTCTTCACCAACATTAATTCAATGCAAGGCTAGTACTTAGATTTTGTCATATATCTATGCAAATAAAAGAATGAATATTTATTTCAAATTTGTAACTAGCTCAAAACCAAAGGCCAAAAGTCTGCAGCACTAATATCATACCTGGCACACTTACACTATCTCAAATAATGCTCATAATCAAACTTTCTAAGAAGGGTATATTGAATAGATAGCAGTTTTTATTACATCATTGAACATTGCAGCCAAATCAATAAAAATCAAATTTTAAAGAACCAGTTTGTCCAATTCGACCTTTTGTCCATTTGAGCTTTTCAAGATTTGACCTTTTGTCCCTCTAAGTTCAATTCGACCTTTAGTCCATCCGACCTTTTGTCCCTTCAATCTTTTGTCCATTCAACCCTTTGTTCTTCGACCATTTGTTCATTCAACCTTTTGTCTATCTATGTTTAATTCGACATTTTGTCTTATCGACCTTCTGTCCTTCTACATTATTGTCTTTTGACTTTTTGTCATAGCTTCTTTTTGTTTTAGATATTCAACATGGCAATGATCCGATTTTTTTATTCTTTCGACCTATTTCCATTCGACCATTTGTCCCCTCTACCTTTTGTCCTTTCGACATTTTGTTTTTTTTTTATTCGACCTTTTGTCCCTTTCAACCTTTAGTCCATTCGACGTTTTGTATTTCTTTCAACCTTTTGTCGCTAAACCATTTCGCCCAAAATTGTCCATTCGACCTTTCGACCCTTCGATGGTTTGTCCATTCTACCTATTTTCCTTCAACCTTTTGTCTTTCGATTTTTTGTCCTATATGGACAGCTTCCAAACGATTGAATAGCTGACTGAGGTGGTGAACGAGGTCAAACTGATGCACTACAGAAGAGGCTTCACTCTCCGACGCCTTCTGCCCAACTACCATGAAGTCCGGCGAGGAATATGTGAGATTACTTAAATGGAATGCAACAACTTGCATCTAGAACGTGACGCGGAGTCACTCATCCAGTTACGCAGTCCGCACGTTCATTCCCCCGTGTCATCGAGTGATATTAAGTTATCTCTCGCAAGTCAGCCAGCAGCGGTGAACGCTTATAACAAATACTGCAAGTTCCAGGTGTACATAACACGACTTTCAAACCTTTGGAAATGTGCTTTTATGAATTTGATTGCAAACTAATCTCGTGAATGACATCTACAGCTAATCAGTTTCGAACGACGACAAGCTATGTTTTACAATTCGTTGCAACAAAAAATTCATCAAAAGATATTAATTAATTATTCTTGATCGTGAGACACAAACGGTGTGGATAGGAGAACGATTTGAATGGTGCGGCGCTCACGCATTCAGCTTGATCTATATAGAATGTTACGCTCTAATCACAAATAACCTAGCACACTATCTCAGGAATAAATTTTATTGGGAAAGTATAATTTTGTATTCAAAGCACAGCATCCTTTAAAATACACTACTGCCACTAGGCATCTTCCAGCACGAAATTGGCCTTGAGGCATTCCTTTTCGATCTTTGCCTCCCGCATGGTTCCGATCTCCAGAATCAGCCGCCATTCGCCCATCATTTGGGAAGGAAGTTTCATATTCGTGGCCATATTCCCGATGTTTGCTTTGTCGAATGTTTCCTCGTGCTGTTTTAAACGTTAGTAGAGATTAAAAATCTATTCTTTCCACGACAAACCGACCCGATCACCTACCCCGGCCAAAAATGGACACTGACGCTGACTGAAGTAGGCCACCGTAGAGCTCCACATTTCATGGGGACGATCGATGACATCGCAAAAGTTCGGTATCAGACGGGTTATCGTTGGAAGCCACATTCCCTTGGAGTTTCGTTCCAGGACGACTTTCACCTGAAAGTCAGTTTAGGCACTTTCCTTCGTTTTCGAAACAATTAACAAACCGATTAAAACTCACGCTCGTTGGACTGGCGAAATCTTTGATTAGCGAAAACTTTCCATCCAGCGTGATGTTCTCGTTGTCCATCATCAGAATATCGAATTTCGAAATGTCCCAACTGATCGAATCCATCCCATTGTCGCAGCTGTTGAACTCCCCGTCGAAGTTGATTGTCACAACCGCCTGTGGATTGATTAGGAATTGCCATCAATCCGAAACCGTTCACTACAACTCAACTCAAAAGCTTACCCGGGAAATTTGAATCGAACTCAACACCAAAAGTGCAACGGATGGATTCATGTTTCGGAAGAATCTGACAGGCCAGTGATCATGGCAATGGGTATTCGACTGCTATCAATTTAAATCAGAGTTGTTGGCGCTGGGCGAGCACGACATGAAACATCCGGTACATGTTTCGAGAAAAGTTTCGTGACAAATGGTAATTGTGCACGGATGACATCGGTACCCCCCTCCGGTTCATTGCAATTATAATTATACAGACTAGTTTCGGTATTATGGATGTTACGTACTAACTGGAACTTGGCACTATGTGTCTAGAGAAGATCGGGAAAGGTCCACGAATGGATCGGGTATCGAACCATGTTCCTCCGAGATTGTTTGACACGACTTTATGGATCAGGCCTTAAAGAGGCCTCATCCCTTTTTTGAAAATATAGAGAGCCTCTTCTCCAGCAAAGTTATTGCAGAAATCATTATCAACAATTATACTAGATGCATTAGGGAAGTTCCATGCGAAATAGTTAGGTGACCAGATTTAAGTTTTTCCGACTTAAATGAAACTTTGGCTATGTTTTTGACCTGTTTGGCACAAGCGTCATTTTTTAAAATGGCATATGTTCTTCCATGAGCAAAAAAATAGAAAAAATGTATCTTGAAAACTATGGATTGTACTGATGATTGTAAGATACCGAGTTGTGGAGAGAAGTGATTTTAAAACGTAGAAAAAATATACACTAAAAAAAGAAATACCTCAAATCCCCTCATCCATCAATGTATGAGCTAGGTAGAGGAGTGTGCGTTTGATTGCTATTTTCGCATTATCTTCAATCGAAACGATTGAAAAAATGTTTTCAATCAATTCGAGACTTTCAAAAATAATTCTGATATGGTGCAAAATTCATCAACAGATATCGTAGAGCACCGACTTTTCATTGATTTTAGAAAGTCTATGTTTCCAAATGTACAGTGAAGTTCGATATAACATACCCTCGATATAACGTACCCTCGATATAGCGTCACTCGATATAAGATACACCTTTCAAAATTATTATTTTATTTCTCATTATCATCAGAATTAGTGTTTCAAGATTCAAGAACAATAGATTATAAGTCAAAATTGACCGTCCAGAGACCTCGCATTGGGGGGGGGGGGGGGGGGGGCAGCATCACAGGTGAAGGTATTGAAAGGCTGCAGTGATTTTCCAGCTCCAACTAATTTAAAATTAATGCACACCCATAACCAAACCTATGAGAGTTTATAGAATGGAACACTGTCAAATGTCTATTGACTGAATGTGTATTCCATCGAAGTAGCGACAAAGCAAAGCAACTTAGAGATATTAGCGACCAAGCAGAGAATATCAGCAGAGCTGCTGTGATATTCATGTCAGTGATATTTAGTTTGACACTGGCAAACTGATTTTCACTTCAAGAGACTCATAAAATTCAGCATTTTGATGGAATTGAATTGATGTTAACGTTTTCAAACACTAGTTTATAGGGGACGGAATGAGGTATTTAGCTTTCCACACTCGGTAATGGCGGCCTTCGTGTGCATGAAAAGGACCCTTCATTATTGGTTTTCGACAGCTGCTGGATGTAATACCAACAATCAATGCGAAACTAACGATTTTAAATTGGCTCACCACTTTAGTAGCCTTTTGGTCCCAAGCAAACGATTAACGTACCCTATTCTAGTCGAAATTCTAGTACTACGCAATGTTTGTTTTGATTCGCTATGAAAGTTTGACAGATAAAATGAGGGGTTATTGGTTTTTCCTATGTTTCGAGGGGTGAATCGATTGCTTGGGACCGAAGAGAGTACCAGAGCTGAGCCAAAAAGTTGAGCACGTTATTTCGGGAACTTCTAGTCTTAGAGTTACCTCTATGGTAATACGCTCAGAGATGCCAGATTTTTTTCAGAAGTCTGCGGAAAATGTCTGTGAATTTCAGAAATGTCTGTGAATTTCAGAAATGTATAAAATTAGCAGCAATTTTGTGGTGGTCATGAAAAAGATGCGAAATTTTAAATATCAGTAAAAGTCATGTCGGGCAAAAACGACCTGCTTTTAACGAATTGAACCTAATTGGAGTTAGGAATGCATCCATTTACGCTGTATACGTTAAAAGTTATTAATAAAAAGATAACAAAATTTTAAAATTTTCCCTTGATAACAAAAGTCTGTAAATATCTGTAAAAAACTAAACAGCATGAAAATATCTCTCAAAAAACTAAATGTAACTGTAAATGTCTGTAACAAAAAAAAAATCCGGGATTTCACAGACATGTCTGTAAATCTGGCATCTCTGAATACGCTGGTGAAATGTGGTCCTTTTCCATCTGTTCCAGAGGCGAAGAGAGGAGCAAAGCTTTTTAACACTCCGAATACGGTGGGTAAAAAACTTTACGCCGACTACGAAGCCTCCGAAAAACGTGTAACGGCAAGTTTGTAATGGCATAACTTAGCCATTTATTAATGAATTTCAAAAATTGTGGTACCTTTAGAATTCCTAGGGTTTGTAGATGATTTTGATTGATAGGATTGAAAATAGAGTCGTCTACTTTTTTAAAAAGCGAAAAGAGTTGTTACACGTTTTTTTGAAAGGTGTGTTTGTAGGGTTTTGCAAGTGGCGCAAGATCTGTAATTTAGATAATTGGGCACACATGTTCACAATTAGCCAGAATACAGTCATGGTTCCTATATATTGATCCTGGAGACAACGGAACGGTCTTCGAAAAATCCGGAACAACCGTAAAAGTGGTCAATCCATGAGCTTGATCCTAGAGCTGTGAAAACATTAGGAACTGTGATATAAAAGAATATTTGGGGTCGTGACGGTCCCATGGCCTTCTAGATACATGTTTATGTCACGACCGCAAATTAATTTATATATGTCAGTTCCAAGTGTTTTCGAAAAAAAAACCGTGGAGCTCTAGGATCAGTTCCATACATTGACCACTTTTATGGATTTTTTGAATTTTCCGGAAGACGGTTCGATGGGCCTCTGGGTCCATGTTTATGTCACGATCCCAAATTCATTCTTATATCACAGTTCATAACGTTTTCAAGAAAACCACGGAGCTCTACGATCAGTTTCGTGAATTTTCCACTTTCACGGTTGTTCCGGATCTTCCAGAGGACGGTCTCATGGCCATCAAGGTCCATGTTTATGTAACGACCCCAAATTCATTCTATCATCTCAGTTCTTAGTGTTTTTCAAAAACTGCGGAGCTGCAGGATCAGTTTCGTGGATTGACAACTTTTACGGATGTTTCGGATCTTCCGGAGGAAGGTCCTATGGACATCCAGGTTCATGTTTATGTCACAACCCCAAATTCTTTCTATCATCACAGTTCCTAATGTTTAAAAAAAAACGCGGAGCTCTAGGGTCCGGATCGTACCCAAGCAACACGGCTTGTCATTAAGAAGTTGAAAATACTTTGTAATGACTAACGCAAAGAATCACTAATACTTTAATATACATCATTTAATACATTTATATAACCTAAAAAGCGCAAGACGCGGAGCTTATACAACTAAATACTGGTCTTATAACATGTATTTTGGAAACATCATAAAAACCAGCGACAAAAAAACAATAAAAAAATCTTGATAAAAAAAAAAATAAAAAATAGCTACGTTATTGCGTGATGTTTGTTTTGCTAATAGGTTCTCCGATGAATTGAGCGTATTTTACGGCATAGATCACCGGCTTAAAAAAACTAACGTTGCTTGGACTGCGCTGTCAAAACAATCGAGATAGTAAAATCGTTCATCAGATAGCAAAATAGTTCCTCAGAGTTACTCTGGATTGCTCTTAATTTCTCACTGTCTTCCCCCTCGCTTCTGTCAAACACTGGTTATTGATCTACACTGAACGAAAACATCCGCAATACTTCGAATAATTATTGCATTGGTCGAGCCCTTTAGCAATATGCTTTCGAATTTTGGATGATTGTCTTATGGTTGAATTCGTCATCAGCTACCGAGCATCCATATGACTGTCCTCTAAATAAAGGATGATAATTATTTGAAAATTGGCTGTACAACATACAGTGCATAGAGGATATCAGTTTAATAATAGTATGCCTTGCAAATGCTTAAAATTGGGTTTATAGTTCGCTTGTTTATATTTCCATATTGAATAGCCAGGAACAGCCATTCCATCATGGATACAACACATTTTTTGTTGGTAGAGGAAACTGGCAATCTTCGGTTCCTACGCTTTACACATCATCGTGTTGGAGGATTTGCGTTATGGGGCTGAATCAGTACAATATGCATTTCAATTTGGGATGACAATCATTCTACAGAGAGCATTACGTATTTCAACTGAGGTCCATTCGCTTCTCGTATCAATGTTCATCCTGTATTCGAGAGGAGCATCATCTGATTACAAAACAATCGTCGTCCGGTTGCAGCTATCATTCGAAAACGCAATTTCGATGTTTCGATTCGAATGGTTTGAGGTTTCTTTCGAACAGAGCATGATGTTTTGGTACAGTGTAAGACAAGAGGAGACAATTGATCAGTTCACGAAGATTTGCCGCACTCTTCTCTCACCCGTAAGTTTTGACAGTTTTGGGTGGTTTGTTTTGGCTCCCATTCGTTGCTATCTCTTTTACTCAGAAGCAAAATGATAGGGAGCAAAAAGTGAGGTTAGGGACCGTGCACTGATCTATACGGAGGCGAAAACGAACCACTTTTCGGTCAAACGTGAACCAGCTCGTGATTGGTCGATTTGAAGTGCGTAAGATAGAGATAGAGATAGATATAGATTGAGATAGAGATAGAAATAAAAGAGTAAGAACACACTTAGAAGTAACTAATTTTACACGTAACGGAATCCGTCTTTGACATAAAAGATGAGACGTAAACAAACATGTCATGTAATATTAAGTGCTCCAAGACCGAAAAGTTCGTTGCTCGACCAAAAGTACGTTTGATTGAGCTATATTTCGCGTCTGTTATGACTCAAATTTATCTCAAAATTGACACTCGTATATGTCACTCTCAGAGCACCTAAATTTACATGTTTTTTTCTAAGTCTGAAGCAGG